AAAGTTTCCTAGGCTCTATGCACCAGCCTCTATAAACCACCAAAAGAATTTCCAAAAGTTCTGTTCAAAGCTTTGTTAGAAAGTCCCTGTAACAAGTTTTGAAAACTCAATGCTTCATAGGTGAGGATAAATCAGGATTAAGTGGCTACTGGGGAAAATGTTACAATACCAATTGCAATCTTACAATACCAATCCATTTTTGAAAAGTGTTTAATTACCATGCAAAGAAAAATATCTTAAAAATTTGTGTACACACACACATACACACTCTCACTGAACAGTCTGGGTGATCCTGTCTTTGCTTTGTTCAGTTTAATTTGTTGTTCACTCTAATCCCATTGGTGTAATGCATCACAGACGTTCAAGGAGAATTTGACCACAGTAATAAAATAATTATTGAAGATTAGTCTTGATAAGGAGGCAGCTATCTTGGAAAGTAGAAACAATGGCTATGGCTATATGCCAAATGACAGGCACGGGTGTTATTACTAGAAATAGTGAATTGCCACTTAAAGAGCAGAGCTGGCCATAGATCCCAGGCTGCTGTGCCAAACTACTTGCATGCTTGAATTCTCTCTGAGAAAGATGGTTTTGTAAACAGTGTGGATTAGATTTAATATCTGAGCTATTGTCACGTTCAGTCTCATGCAGTGACACCATAAACTAAGATGGATAGTGGTGCCTTGGAGCCAACTTGGGAGAAAAGACTTAGGGCCACATTGCAGCATTTAGACACTAGCTGGATTAGAGAGTGGTATGGGGCCATGCTACCACATAGGGAATGTTGAGGGGGATTGTACCAGGCTCCCCACGCTGAGAAGGATGCAGGCTTCCCTTTAGGGAAGCTGAACCATTCTTTGGAGAGGTGCAGCTTGTTCCCGCCACTCTGAAGTGCGGGGCTGAGTAGGGGTTGTGTGGCGGGGTTACAACTCACCGGCGCGACGCCTCCTGCTGGCTGTCTCGAGAATTAGCTCTTTCCAGCCCAGAGCGCCTTCTGCAGGCCAGTGTCTCACCTGCCGCTGGCCCTGTGTCCCTCCCAGACCCCAGTGCCCTTTGCCCAGGGGTTCTGCCCACCACAGTACCCCCTTGCTCTGGGTCTCCCCTCCCTGGGGAACCCCCAATCCTCTAAACCCACCTTGCCTCAATGACTGTTGTCAGTCATCATCTAGCCTCCACCCCTTGGGGCAGTCTGTAAACCACTCATCATCAGCAAGGGGGTTAAGACCTGCTGCCTTTGCCTATCTCTGGGCTGCCCCTCTGCAGCCCCAGTACCTATTTGTAGGCCTTTAACTAGGCCTGCAGCCTGGGGTTTTGCTAGGCTGGAGCTCCCCAGCTCCCTCTGCCCTTCCCCAGCACTCTTCCCCAGCTCCACCTCAGGTACCCTGCTCAGCTCCTGGGCAGCCAGGTTCTTCTCTCTCAAAAAGCTAGAGAGAGAATGTCTGTTTCAGTCTATGGCCCTTAGCCCTCTTATAGGGCCAGCTGTGGCCGGATTGGGGCGTGGCCCCACCTGTTGCTGCTTCCCCCAATCAGCCTAGCTTTTCTCCACCACAGCCCTCTCCAGGGCTGCTTTAACCTCCTCAGGGAAGGAGTGGGGTGACCACCCCACTACAGGTTAGGACAACGATGCTCCTCCTCCTCCTCACCCCCCTTTGGGTGTGTGTGGGGGCGGACTAAAGGTCCATGTGGTTTCAGGAGTTCAGAGACTCCTCTTGCCCTCTCTCCTATGTAGCCTCATGAGGGTCTGCCACAATCCAGCCTTTAGCCATTTCTCTCTGTGTAGTGTGCTGGGCAATCTGTATGTAATGGATCCTGGGTAAAATCTAACACTCACTTCAGCAGGCCTCAGGCCCTGGAGCCAGTTTTATTCCACTCTGATGGAAGGGGCTTGGATTCAAAGGGGGCTCCAGCAGCCCAGGTCCTTGCTCAGCAGCACACAATAGACGGGAGCAGGACATGGGTGGGGCTGTGTGAGGATTGGTGCCAGAGTTTATTCACTGCTGTTTCACATCCTCCCTCTGCACCAGGGTTACCTCACCCACACAGCTGAAGAAACAGCTGCAGTGCAGTGGCAGGGCCTTTCCCTGGCTATGCTGGGGAAAATGCCTTTTCCTCTTTCCTCCTACATGTCTCCCTGGTGCCCGCAAGCTAACTGGTTGGCTGAGATTTGACATTTTGTGCTTGTGTGCAGACCTAATTCCTCTACCATACATACAAAACCATAACACCCTGCAATAGAATAGTCTGTAGCAAAATGTAAGGAAGTTCCTTCTCTTCTTCTTAGCATACTTTTGCTGACAAAGTAAACACCCTAAGATAAGTCTGAATTTAATGAAATTTTGCATGCACGGAGGCATTGGCACCAGACTTTCTTTGAACTCTGTAGCCTTCACATTCAGTACTTTTTTCACTAGTCTCCAAGAGTCTGTTACATTCTGGGGATAAAGCCGGCTAGCCAATAGAATGCCTTTTAAATTACCAAGCGCTCTCCATCTGAAATTGTAAATGGACTTTGGGGCTATGCGTGTGCAGACAGCACACAGAACTGATGTTTTCCCAAGAGAATGTCTGTCCATTGCACTAGGTCAAAAAGGTAGTGTGTGATGTGAGGAGGGGCATTCCAGAGCTGTAACTCTCTTTCCTTGACTCAACCCCCTCCTTTCCAACCTGCAGGAGTTACTTCAGCTCTAGGGCTGTTTCCAAAAGGAAAACAGTGAAACTGTCATTGTTTTTGTCAAGATCACTGTGTTTTTAATAGATTAGCTGAATCCCATCAAAATACTTGAAATGGTCTTTGCCGCTGCTCTGTACAATGATATAGAATCACTGAAGTCTGTTATATTTCATTGCTTCTTCACCATGGGGTATCATATTCACAGAGCACGCTAGCAATGTGATTTGTAAGGGGAAACTGTGGTAGAATGCTGAAACAAGTGGATACAGAGTAGTCTTTTCTCTGTCATTTTAGCAGTGAGTTTCAGAGTTCATAGTGAAAAAGTTTTACTGAATTAACACTCCACGCAGCATTCCGTTTACTTCTTTGGAGGGGAAGATAAAGAAAACAAGATGTGATGGTGAGCACATATTATACTGAGTGGTGTATGCACTTGTCCCAGTAAAGTGATAAAAGAGTCAGGTACTGATCAGCTTCAGTGGAAAAACTCCACGAATGCACAGCCTGCTCTTCTGACTAGCAGCTTTATCACCCCTTTCAAAATTGCTTCTCTCCATTTGCCAGTTAATAAATGAACTGCTCCAAGATTCAGGCTTAAAAACTATTTTGAACATGTAAAGTATGAGGAAAAAATTCAATATGCAACTGTTTAAACATCACTATTTTGATCCCTGGATCAAAGCAATATAATTGCATGAGAAAATTTTGATATGATATAGAAATTTTTATAATTGAAACCATCTTTGTTTTAATGCAATTTAGTATCAACTTTTTCATCTTTCTGACCTCATTAGATGTGCCTGGTCATTAGATACAGTGTTACTAATTTGTTTTAATTTAAAGGCTGCTCCGGTTAATGATTGGTTGGACTAAGGTTTTACTGTGTAAGATTAACTAGATTTAAGGATGGCAAAATGCCATCGTAGCATTAATGCCAGACTTTAATGAGAAGCAGAAGTAAACTCCTAGGACTCTGATAATTTTAATGTGGGACCACAGTTGTGCTCTCATTATCTTAATGCCCTGTTATATTTTGAACATAAAAATAAGTATTCTTCTCCCCATCAACTCCTAGTGATGATTACACTGAATGGTATAATGCTCAAGAATAGATATAGTCTTAAAATCATATATATATTAGATATATAACCCTAAATGCTGTTTCCTTTTGAACCATATCCTTTATCTAAACTCTTATAATCAAATGGAGAAAATGTTTCATACCTCTCATTGTGTCTGCCTTTATTTTACAAACCACATGAAAGCAAGACAAGATCATACTGACAAACTTCTCTACTGCTAAAGAATACTCTCTCTCTCTCCTTATATTTTACTATTTTTTATATTATAGGACACACTGATTTTTCTCCACTCTCATCCTCTTAAGTGAATTTAGTACTCCTGAAAGGTGCTGGTTTGCAGATCTATAGACTGAAATCCTCTGTTTTTCCACTGATCATATACAGCAGTATAAATTTATCCTATACTCCTCACACAGCATATCTCAATAGGACCTGGAGGCTTCCATCTAAAGCCCTATTCCTTCGTACCTAAAAGCGCATTAAACACATGTATAAGGCCCTGATTGAAGAAAGCATCCTTATTCAGGACTGCACTTAAGCACCTGCTTAAGAGTTGGGTTATTCATGAACCACACTGAACAATTGCCATTCTGGTGACTAACATACTAACACTGTAGCTGTGGGTATGTCTATACTGCAAAAACAAAGTCACAGCAGTGATTCTCAGAGCCTGGGTCAACTGACTTGGGCTTACAGAGGGTCCTGTGGCACCTTTAAGACTAGCAGAAGTATTGGAGCATAAGCTTTCGTAGGTGAATGCCCACTTCATATTGATTTATACCTGCCTCTGGAAATTTCCATTACTTGCGTCTGATGAAGTGGGCATTCACCCACGAAAGCTTCTTAAACATTTTAAAAACCTTATTTACTTTACATACAACAATAGTTTAGTTATATATTGTAGTCTTATAGAAAGAGACCTTCTAAAAATGTTAAAATGTATGACTGGCACGCAAAACCTTAAATTAGAGTGAATAAATGAAGACTCAGCACACCACTTCTGAAAGGTTGCCGACCCCTGGTCTATACTGACATTTTTAGCCCCAAGTTAGTTAACCTTGGCTCTGAAATATGCTGCCACAGGGCTTTCTTTCTTTTCTTCAGTGTAGATGTACCCTGTGTTAGCATTGCCACACAGTACATATTTTCCCAGCAACTTCTGGAATAATTTTTGCATTCTCTCAAAAACACAACATAACCCTTTACCTAACGATTGTTCTGTTTTTGTGCTTTTTTTTTCCAATTAGGAAGGAGGACAGCAAAAACAAAGGACAAGAGAAAGAAGAAAAAGAATTTAATGGAAAGGGCTCAGAAGCAGCACCACATCTTCCTAGCTACAGACAGAGCTAGCCAGTAAAGACTTTTTTGTTTGTTATATATATATATATTTTTTTTTTTGCAAAGTGCACAAAAGCTGCTATATGCTCCTGCATATGGATGCACTGCAATTCAGCTGCTTTGACAGTATTGGCTGCAAATAACTTGTGAAAAATGTCCACAGGTTTGTTTGTGTTATTTATACTTTTTATTTTTTGACCCTGAAGACTCCAAGGGCCGGAGCGCACTGAGTTGAATCAGTGGAAGTGGTGCCGAAGTGTGTCAAAGACTTTGCATTCAGTGCCTGGGAAATGGAAATGGCCAATGTGTTGACATAAAAGTGCAACAGGAAAGAAGGCCGCAAATCACCATTAAATAATGGACTTGTGCATATTTATATAAAAGAGGAGGTCTGGGTGGTGTAGGTACTCTTGCATTTATGGCCTTTGTTTCTCATATTTGTACATTTCAAGAGTAAATGTATATGAATATCTGCTTAGTGTTAATGTGCATTATTCTCTGCACCATTCTCTGCACCCACTGTATTGAAACAGTTGTATAATAAAACTGCTTTAAGAAGATATACCACAGGAGTTACTGCTTAGTGTTCTAGGAGCACAATAGTCCTCATGTGTACATATTATGCTGTCTGTGTATAAATAAACTTATTTACTGTACATTTGTGCTTTCATTCTTATGTGTAACAAGTTATGTATGTTTAAAGTTATGTCACTTTGGTTCCAGTAATTCCTAAACATAGTCCAGTAAACACTTTTTACTATGTTTTGAATGTTTTTACAGTTTATCATTAATTTTAAGGAAGCCAGATTTGTTTCTCATTTGTTAAGGCACTTTCACATAGCTAAACTAGCTTGTATTGACCTCAGAACACAGTGTCAGGTTTGGAATATACATGCCTAATTCTTTCAGTAAAACACAAGTCTCTTCAGTTACAATGTAACCTTATCTTGGGCCTGAGCTGAAATGTTGGTGTTGCTTCTCACAGAAAGAAATCTGACATCTAAGGCCTTGTCTACACTGGGGGAGGAAGGGGATCGATCTAAGTTACGCAACTTCAGCTACATGAATAAAGTTGCTGAAGTCGATGTACTTAGATCGACTTACCTCACCACGGTGAGTCGACTGCTGCCACTCCCCCATCGACTCTGCCTGTGCCTCTCACCAAGCTGGAGTACAGGAGTCGACGGGAGAGTGCTCAGGGATCGATTTATCATGACTAGACTAGACGCGATAAATTGATCCCCGCTGGATCAACCACTGCCCGCCGATCCGGCCGGTAGTGAAGACATACCCTAAGAGTTAAGATGAATTATGGTGGTGACGGATGTACATGGAAACAAGATTGTGAATGGGGAATTATATGAACAACTCTCATTATCCATCACAGGAGTTGTATGCATAGCTCCCTTCATATTGTGAACAGTACTTTATCCCCATCAGTCCTAACAATGATTACTTCAAAATCCTAGCCTTACTGTTTAGCGAAAGAGGCCTTTACCATGGAGATTAGAAAAGAAATTGCCATCAAACATTATAAATTAGATAATTTGTAGGTGAAGGGGATTCATTTCCTGGCACTGGCACTCAGTTCAGGAATTTGTAGCAAGTTTCAACCTTGCAGTGCATCTGGATCTGTTTATTTATTGCATTTCCCCATTTAGGGAAGGAGAAATCACAAAGGGTATATTTCAGTCGTCTTGCATTATCGGGCCAGCATTCCAAGTGAAGGCTTTTGAAGGTCTGCCTTGGAAAAGTCTGCACTAAAATTGCTGCCTGCCTTCACTTGTGGATGTTACTCTGGCTCTAGAACTAAGATTGTATGTGCATCATGACCTTAAGAACTAGCGAAAATATAAAGCAAAGAAAAAAGGCTTTGGCACCTATCTCTTTAGAAAATAAAACTTAGTGTTAGTTTTAGGTTTACTGATTCTACTCTTCACAAATAAACTATGAAAGAAAAGTATAAACAAACACAGATATTGTATCCATGCTTAGCTATCTAGGAGTATTTTTACTACAAGAAATATACAGTATTAAGCCATATATGAATGTTGTATGAAACTTCTTATGGATTTTCACTTAATCCTGAAGTTCTCAACTCTTTTCATTCTAGAGTATGTTCCTATTTAAATTGAACAAGTTACATATAGTACCTTATTGTTGAGACTAATAAAATTTTTCTATTCCTGGGATGTTGTTTTGGGCATTAAATAGCTGACTTAAAAAATGTAGATGCCTATTTTGATTGTTGGTTATCAAGTTTGATTATAGATGCAGTGACCACCTGAGCAGAATTCCACTGGCAGAGATTACAAATATTTTATTAGCCATGTCATGAAATTTATTCTACAAAATACAATAAAACTTTATAGTCAACCTCTGAGTAAAATATGTTGGTCCTTTTTTAATTAAAAGAATGAATTTCCTATTAATGGAATCCAGAAAAAATATTCAAAGAAGTTTTATGAGTAGAAATGTGTTTGTCAACGGAAGCTGAATAATTAAGAGATTTTTAAACCAAATAATATTTTGTCAGTTATTTATGTAGTATTATAAATGGGCCTGGCACCTTAAAACAGGTTCTGTATGCTAAACATAAGCTAAAGAACGATCTTTCCCAGGGATCTTATACTCAAAATGCACCTGTAGAGTGCAGATAACACATAGAACAATGTCCCAGATTCAGGACAGCATTTAAGCGTGGGCTTAAGTACATCCCTTTTCAGGACTCATTGGCTTCAACAGGACTTAAGCACATGTTTAACTTTAATCACACAATTGAGTGCTGTCCTGAATAGGGATGCTTTCTTGAATTGGGTCTGTCACACTGTCTTCAATGGCTCACTACTCTCAGAAACAGGGCAGAGATCCCAAACTGGTGGTTCTATAATTAGATTTCACCAAGCCAGTAACAAACGTGAATTCCTGGGTCACTATAACAGTCTTACCATGGAGTCACAGCCAGTCCCCTTAGACTCTCCAGTCTATCTTGCCACCCTGACAAACTGGACTTAGTGATAAATGGTCACTTCCACCAAAAATCACAGCACATTCAGGTTGCTTCCAGTCCCAAGAGACCAGTCATTTACCCCCAGATCAATTGGTGCCCAATTTGGTCTTACACCAAAGACAGCACCTGTAGCCAATCCTGTAACAAACTATTTAAAGGTTCATTAACTAGGACAAAGAAATTAGAGTTATTTACAGGTCAAAGCAAGCTAACATATATACACATGAGTTACCATCTAAATCCTCAGAGTGACAGAGTTATAGTGATCTGTCCATTTAAAGTGTCTTTCAGAGCAAACTCAGGAGGCAGCCCCTGGGGATCTCTGGCTCAGAGTCTCTGGCCCTTCAGAGTTCAAACAGCCAAAAAGATGGAAACTTTTCCTGGGGCTTTGATTTATTTCTTTCATTCAGCTTCCAAGCCAAAGGACAAGCTTGCTTGCACATAGCATTGCCCAGGTGTGATAATAAGGCCATTAACCAATCCTTTGTATTGCGCTGATCCTTGATGACCCTTTTGATTTTGATAGTCCTTTTGGATGGGTGGTGGGGACAATTCCTGTGCTTAGGTTCACAAGTTCAGAGCAAACATTTTCACAGTTATAAGGCAAAACTTACATATTTTCTTATTGTATGGAATACAGACATTGCAAATGAGATTAAGGCATACAGCAATTTACAAGCATTTCATAGAGTATAAACACTAAATACATTCTTATAAGACTAATATCTATTTTGAGCAAACTAACATACAGATGAACTGGCCTGGTCTCCAGCTATAAGTTTGTTAGTCCTTAGCTTACGCTTGCAGCCAGGGCAAAAGCTGGCATCTGGCCTTCCATGGTCACAGGGCCCAGTGTGAAGAAAGTGGCCAGATGTTCAACTATAGAAGAGGAGGCCTTGGGATGGTTGATCTTAGGAAGCACTCTTTGTCCTTCCTGGTCCTATGGTGAGTCTTCTCTGCGCCAGGCCAGGCCCCAGTACAGATTGGAGCTGCCTAAGGTTGCAAGACTTCAGAACAGCCTACAGTTAGATAAACATTTTTTAAAAGTTAACCTGAAGCCTTTCTCTGACCTCAGCTGTTGCACTTAATTCTGATCACAATAGGACTGATTCAAAACCCACTGAAGTCAATAGGATTCTTTCCAGGGGTTTCAGCAGGCTTTGAATCAGGCCCACTGTGTACTTGTCTCTTCCACTACCTGGGGGAAGCACCAATATCTATGGCTTCTCTTGGCCAACACCCGTCGGGCCTTCTCCAGAGCTCCACAGTCCCAACTAGCAGATGGTAAGAGAGCACTCACTTGGTGAGACAGAGTCCATCTCAAAGCACCAAGGAAGAGAAGAGTGAGGAGGGATTTGATAGCAGCCTTCAACTACCTGAAAGGGGGTTCCAAAGAGGACGGAGTTCGGCTGTTCTCAGTGGTGGCAGATGACAGGACAAGAAGCAATGGTCTCAAGTTGCAGTGGAGGAGGTCTAGGTTGGATATTAGGAAACACTATTTCACTAGGAGGGTGGTGAAGCACTGGAATGGGTTAGCTAGGGAGGTGGTGGAATCTCCATCCTTAGAGGGTTTTAAGGCCCAGCTTGACAAAGCCCTGGCTGGGATGATTTAGTTGGTGTTGGTCCTGCTTTGAGCAGGGAGTTGGACTAGATGACCTCCTGAGGTCTCTTCCAACCCTAATCTTCTATGATTCTTTGATTCTATGAAACCATGCAGCCCTCTTCCCTGCTGTGTTTGTCTGGATAATTCACTTTTACTTGGTGTTTACTCTGACTGAGATTCTTTTCATTTTCCTGCTGAGAAACTGACTAAAAAGCTGGTCAGGTGCACTATTGATGTAAGCAGGGTTTGAATGAGCTCTCCCCTGACATCTAGTGATGAGCTGGGGGTGAAGACTTCAGGAGCAGACTGCATGCATACAGTCAGAGCCTACTCTGCCTAGGTGCATGGCAGCTGGAGCTGCTTTGCCAAAATGATCACTTTTTGGCTAGTTTTGGGTTACAAATCGCTCCAGTGTTTGAATGCAGGGGTAATGGGATGCTGTTATCCTTATTGCAGGAATAAAGGGCTGCAGAATTGTGCTTACCATGCCCTGATTGAGCAGGGTCACCCTGAACCTCACTTGCTAATCAGGGGGTAAGGATGCCAAATCACAGTGAAGGGGTGTGTGTGTGAGTGAGTGAGTGAGAGTCCTGGAACTAACTGCACTACTGAGCAGGTCTAAGGGCTAAGTTAGACCTTGGGTGGGGACAGTGTTGCAGTGAAAGAAACTGCACTGGCAATGAGGTTCTCCACTATCTGCTGAAATCACTGAAAGCTGGGTCAGGTGGTGGAACCTTAGAATGTGACGTGACAGAGGTGACAGCAGCAGTAGCAGAGAGACAGTGGCAGCTGTGAGCCAGTTGCAGATGTGGCAGCAGCAGAGGCATTGCTCCGCCCCCCCCCCCAACCTAAGGGTAGGAGGTGAATCCTTTTGAACGGGAATACTGGGTCTTTGCTAACTAAGGCCAGCCAACTGTGAGTGGGCTGCAGCAGAGGGAGAGGGGAATGATGTGTTAAGGGACATATTTTGTCAGATTTTCACACCACAAGGTGAGAAACTGAGGCAAAGGACACTGCTCAATGCACTGTGCCGTGGGTGTTTG